AGAGAGAGAGAGAGAGAGAGAGAGAGAGAGAGAGAGAGAGAGAGAGAGAGAGAGAGAGAGAGAGAGAGAGAGAGAGAGAGAGATTAGAGTGAGAAAAAAAAAGACGAGAGAGAGGAGAGAGAGTAGATAGAGACGAAGAGAGAGAAGCGGTAATTAAAACAAACCCAAGAAAAGAACAAGAGAGAGATGAGAGAGAGAGAGGAGAGAGTGAGGAGAGAGAGAGTGAGAGGACAGAGAGGGGAGGAGAGAGAGAGAGAGAGAGAGAGAGAAGAGAGAGAGGAGAGAGGATGATTAGAGGAGAGAGAGAGAGAGCGAGAGAGACAGAGAGAGAGAGAAAGGGATGAGAAGAAGAGAGGAAGAGAGAGAGAGAGAGAGGAGAGAGTGATGACAGGCACTACATTGTGCACATTATATATGTAAGAAAGAGGGGAGAGAGAGAGAGAGAGAGAGAGATTGAAGAGAAGAGAGAGAGAGAGAGAGAGAGAGAGAGAGAGAGGAGAGTGGGTGTCGAGTGGGTGGAGCGAGAGAGAGAGAGAGAGGAGAGAGAGAGAGAGAGGAGGAGAGATGAGAGAGGCCGGTGGGGGCAGGGAGGGCCGATGGCGGCATGGCAGTGGGGGTGACTGGGGGGAGAGGGGGTTGCGGAGGTCTTGAGGGGTGGTGGGTGGGGGGGGGGGGGGGGCCCTTCATCCACAGCTTGCTCGCAGGGGTTGGGATGGTGCGGTCATATTTGGCCACCGAGGTCCTGCAGTTGCGTTGGTTGTTGGCAGTTGCGTCGCATAATGAGCATGGGCGCGTCTTGTGAGACCGGGTCGGGGCGTTGCACATGGAGGCGACTGCCTCCCAGTCGGCCATGAGATAGATCAGGGAACACTTGAAACCTAGCTCTTTGCCTGCAAGAGCTCTGCGACCCTGATCCAGCTCCTCGCCGCCCACGCCAGTCAGCGGAAAGAAACCAGGCGAGAGAGCGTCGACGCACCACCGAACGTATCTCATTCATTTGTCGAACGAGCAAAAGCCACCGCAACCGCATTTGCAAGCTGTTTGCTTGCGGTAGACGCAGCCGACATGTCTAACGCCCGTGAGCAGGTTCACGGCAGAAATCGCAAACATCGGCCTCTGGCGGCCCGCGGACGCGGAGCCGCCGTGCCTCGCCGCGTCAGGGAAAAGCCCAATAGGAACAACTAAATCTGCATCCACAGCGTCTTGAACGACCTTGCTGTTCCAATAGATCGGCGGCCAGTCTCTGGAAGCCAATCTGTCGCGCATGTCCCGCGCTGAACAAGCGGATCGGCAGATCTCTGAACGCAGCAGCTCGTGCTGGGGTCTCACGACGATCGACGTTTCGACCCTGGGCTTCCATTTCTTTGGCTGACAAGGAACCTTCAAAACCAATGGCTGCACTGTCGTGTACCCCTTCTCCGATATCAGGTCTGCCGCGCGCCTCTGGTAGTGGCCGGTCGATCTGCCTGGCGGCAAGCCCCGCTCCGATATGCCAGAGTGCGCACCCGCCGCGCACGACAAGTGCGCGAGTTCGCAGAACGACTTTGCGGTCAGTTCACCAGTGCAGTAGAGGGAGAGAAGGCGATGCTCCAGCTGGGAGCCTGCATCCTGCTGCTGCTGCAACAACTCAGTTTCGGTCGTCGGGGATGAGTTGGTCCGCCGACGCTTAGCCGCGCGGCTAGATGCGGAAGGGGGGGGGGGGGGGGGGGGGGGGTGCGGGAACACGGCCCTAGAGCACCGCGTGGTCTTGCACCAGCGGGGCTGATTCACTAGGTGTACTAACTACGAGCACCGCACCCCGCGGTGATCTTCGCGCCCTCGTTCCGCCACCCCGGTCGGCCCAGGCCGCGCCGCGCGACGAGCGATATCTTCGCACCCCTGAGGGTGAGTTAGATCCAGACTCGGACGGGTCACGGAGATAGAACATATTTCCCCCCCTCCCCCTTATCCTCCTCCTCCTCCTCCTTATCCTCATCATTCTCATCCTTTTCACCATCCTCATTCTCATCCTTTTCACCATCCTCATCCTCCTCCTTCTCCTCTTCCTCCTTATCCTCCTCCCCCCCCCTCCTCCTCCATCTCTCCGCCGCAGCCTTCGCCCGCCCAATCCTCCATCCTCGCTGCCCTTACCCTGCCCTTCCCACTTCGAGGCCTCCGACTTAGGGATCTGGAATTCTTCGCGCTTCGCGTATCCCCACCAGCCCATCTCAAAACAGCAACTCTTGCGAAGCATGCCGACGGTCGTGTTTTTTTTCAGGCGTGTTTCCGCCTGCCCCCGCATATCTCCGGGCCTCTCGTCCTGGTGTGAGTCGTCCGGGCGTCGTTCGGGCTCTTCGTCGTGGTTTGAGTCGTTCGGGCTCTTCGTCCTGGGCAGTGAGTCGTTGGGCTTCTCGTGGTGTGAGGTTGTTCGGGCCCTTTCGTCCTTGGTGTGAGTCGTTCGGCCCCTCCTCTGGTGTGAGTCGTTTCGGGGCTCTCGTGGTTTGTGAGTCGTTCGGGCCCTAGTTCCTGGTGTGTGAGTTCGTTCGGGCTCTCGTGAGATAGTGTGAGTCGTTCGGGCGCCTCGTTCCTGGTGTGGTCTGGTTTCTTCGGCCCCTCCTCCTGGTGGTGGTGCGTTTCGGGCTCTTCGTGGTGTGAGTCGTTCGGGCCCCTCGTCCTGGTGTGAGTCGTTCGGGCTCCTCGTGGGGCCTCTTGGGGGCCTCTTGGAGCCTCTTGGGGCCTCTTGGGGGCCTCTTGGGGGCCTCTTGGGAGCCTCTTGGGGGCCTCTTGGGGCCTCTTGGGGCCTCTTGGGGGCCTCTTGGGGGCCTCTTGGGTGCCTCTTGGAGCCTCCTTGGGGCCTCTTGGGGGCCTCTTGGAGGCCTCTTGGGAGCCTCCTTGGGGCCTCTTGGGGCCATCTTGGGGCCTCTTGCGACCTCCTCAGAAGCGCAAATGAGAACTGCCCCCTGGGAAGGACAAAATGAGCCCAACACCTACGTAAAATCAATGATTTTGCGATGAAGGACGATGGGCGCTGCCCCCTCAGAAGGCCAAAATGGGGCCAAAACCATAGTACAATCAATGATTTTGGCTTCAAAGAAGAGCAGAGGGGCCAAACTCGGCCCCCCCGTCGGGGCCAGAATCCTCGTGAGGGTCGTCGTTTTTTAGCCCTCCCAGGAGTCGAAAAGACCCCCCTGCCACCACTCGGGGCCCCCTCTCCAGGTCCAGGGGGAGGGGGTGCGGGGAGGGGTAGACCCCTCCCCGAAGGGGGAGAAGGGGGGTCGAGGACAGAGCGGGCTCTCTAAACCACTCACGCCCAAAGGGCTGGTGGGATTCGACAGTCGACCGATCGAGCGATCGACTGTTAGATCGAGCAATCGAGATAACTCGATCGTGGGCAGTTGACCGCTCGATCGGTCGATGGTCGGCTTCCAGCACCCGAAATGGGTGGGATCACCGGTTGCTCAACGATTGCTCATCGATCGAGAGGGGGCGAATCCCTGTAAACAAACATATAAAAATCGCTGATTTCATCGATCGCTCATCGGTCGACGATCGGCAGCCCGCGGGCGTGATTACAGCGAGGCGCCGTGTCTGGCACGCATGTTTTCAGCACCAGGGCTCGAAATCAAACGGTCGGCCCGCAAATTGCGCCCCGCGCGCCAGAGGGCTGGGCGGGGGAGGAAGAAGGGCGAGGTAGTTATAGGGGGAGCGAGGTTGCGCAAATGCGGGCGTCGCCCGCGCCATGCCCCCTCGCGCGCGGGCGTCTCGGGCTCGCTGTTGAGCCCCCGAGGGCTCTAGACCCATGCGAGACGCCCTGCCCGTCGCAACGAGGAACCCCAGGGGCCTGGATGCGAGCGCTAAGCACTCGCGCTGCCTTGCGGGCACGCTTCTTAGCCCTCGGGCTGCCCGCGGCAGCGCCCTCCCCTGCCTCGGCTGTCTCGGTCATGGACGCGTGGCCCTTGTGGATGCGGTTGATGGCGGTCTCCAGCTCCTGCACCTTCTCCTCGCGGCAGGCGCAACGAAGAGAAAGAAGAAGGCCGCTGCTCTCGCCATCTCTCTCTCTCTCTCTCTGTCCCTCGTTCTTTATCGCTCCATCTCCCTACAGGTATACATCTCTCTATGTATATACATATGTATCAATATCTCTATAGCTCTCTCTCTCTCTCTCTGTATTCCGTTCTCTCTCTATCTCTCTCCCTCTGATCGTGTTCTCCATCTCTTTCTCTCTCTCTGTATCTCTCTCGCTCTCTCCCTCTCTCTGTTTATATGTGTGTCTCCCCCTCCCTCTCTCTCTCTCTCTCTCTCTCTCTCTTTCTCTTTGTTTTGTTTTTCTTTATTTCTTTCTCTCTCTCTCTCTCTCTCTTCTCCTCTCTCTCCTCTTTCTCCCTCTCTCTCTCTCCTCACTCTCTGCTCTCTCTCTCTCTCCTTCTGCTCTCTCTCTTCCCTCTGCTCTCTCTCCTCTCTACTACCTCTCTCTTCTCTCTCTCTCTCTTTCTCTCTCCCCATTCCCTCCCACGCCTCTGCGCCCCTTCCACTCCCATCCCGCTGTGTGTCCACCCCTCTCCCTCCCTCCCGACCTATCTTCCCTCCTCCCATGCCCCCTGCCCGCTCGTGTCCTTGAATCTGTTCTTCTTCAGTTCGGCTGCCTGGATGACGATGTCGGCATCTCTGATCTGCGCCTTCACCTAGCAGCGGGGGGAGGGCGATGAGGGAGCGGGGGCGGCGAGGAGCAGGAGGGGGAGGAGGAGGAGGAGGGGGGGGAGGAGGATACGGAGGAGGAGGAGGAGGAGGAGGAGGAGGAGGAGG